TCACACTGCTTGGGGTAAGTTGGGATCTGATAGGTTAGACTGGCTTGGCTGGGCAGCTCAGCTTTAAACTGCAGGGCTGTGGGTCAGCTCTTGTGACTGTTATTCATGGACCAGCTGGTTAGCTGCTGGGGTTCTTCTCATGGTAGCGAAGAGTACTAAGAGATATGCTTAATGGGACAAGCAAACTGCACGCTTGTATAAAATCTGCCATCATCCCACTGGTCAAAGCTACTTGAAGGGCTAAGCTCCAAGCCATGGAATGGGAAGCACTCTTTGCTTTTTATGGCATCAATTCAAGGAATTCAGAACTGAGGCCAAACACAATATATCACTGGGCATGTGGACATTTTATTACTCATAAATGTGATGTATATGTACATACATTATATATGTATGTAATTTGGTATGTAGAGGGTTTCATAGTGAAGTCTCACACATTAAGGACACTTTGGGACATTTATTATTTACTGGTCTCATTAAACATGAAATGAAGTCAGTTTGGCAGGAGTTGTTCTTCATGATTATATTTTTCGTATTTCCCTTTCTGTTCGATAAACGATTTAAAGCACTCAGACAAAATAAACAGAATAAATCAGAAAACAAAGCAAAGGGAAGATAGAGTTACCAAAGCAAAATGGAGCCAGAATGCTATCGACAGTTGGCAGGAGAGAGTCTTCTCTCTTGATCTTTGCCCCACCTTTTCTACCTATTCTTTGTTCCCTTGAGGGCTTCTTCTTTAAGAAAAGGTGTCACTGGGTTCTGAATAAAGCTGTCCTTTTGCTGCTTGAGATCCAGAAGCTGCTGACACTTCCTGTGAATCATCCCTTCTTGCTGGCTCCCTGCAGAATCACTTTTACTCTTTCCACAAAACTGTCCTTGAGTAACCCCTTTGCCTTGCTGACAGCAGTCCACACATACAGTTTGAAGTGAAGTCTGTAGTTGATGATCAATGTGATGACTGAGTAAGAAACACAATCATTAAAAGAATCTTGTCTTGGGAAACGCAGACTATTCCTGACGCCAAGATGGGTAACAAGTTTTCTCCATGGTTTCTTTTTTCAGCGGCATCCAGAGCTTCACCCAAGCAAGACAAGTGTTCTATCACTGATCTACACACCAGCTCTCTCTCCAGTTTCTCACTGTGCTTCTGTGACCACATTTTTTTCCTGTCTTACAACCATCTTTAATTCTTTGGGGCATCTTTAATATATCTATGAATATCTCTTAGCAACACTCACTCTCTGACTATCGCCTCTAGTTTCAGTTCTAAATATCAAAGATATTTTGATGACTCCCAATATTTATGCCTAGTCCCAATTTATCCCTAAATTCATTTTAACTATCCAACTGCCTATATGGAATATCTGATAGCTCAAACTCTTAACATACCTCCAAATGAAATTTTTGGTGTTTCCTATTTCTCCCTTGCTAGTTTTCCCTTAGTTTGTTTTTGTGTCACAATCAATGCTGCTCAGTTTATTCCTGGCTCTATACTCAGGGATCACTTCTGGCAGTGTTCAGGGGGCCACATGGGGTGTCAGGGACTGAACCTGAGTTGACTGTGTGCAAGACAAATGTCCTGCCCACCCCACTGACCAATCTTTCCAGCCCTTTTTTAGTAGGGGGCCCAAGAATTATTCACTTGGTTCTCAGGGTGTGTATATTGTATGTGTGTGTAGGGGGTGGGCAGAAATACATTATTCCTGATTCTTTTTTTAAAATTACTGTACATCATGCTGGCTCAAATTTTCAAAATAAATTCGGAATCTGATCAATTATTACCACCCCCCTACCTACCTCTCTAGCCCACAAAGTGAGTCTCTCCAACATGACTGTACTTGTTCCTAACTTGTTTCTTTCCTTTAACACTTACATTCTTTGGGATTCTATGTCTAGCAATCAGTGTGGCTCTTTAAAATCCTTTGTATTATATGGAGACAAAGCAAAGTCAAGAATGAAACCAAACCAAAACTAAATACTTGGGTTGTAACAGCAAAACTGAGGTCCTAATGACATATTTATGAGGGGAAAAGGAGTGAAAAGGTTCAGAGGACCTATTTGTACCCTTTGGTCTGTGGTACAGGATTATTAGTCCTTTGGTGATGGGGTGGTAATATAGTTTGGAAGAGGTGTGAATGTGCACTCCTAAAATATATTGTTGGAAAAGGGGTTTGGGGAGTCTGGTGGGTATTCAAGTGACATGTAACTAATGTTGCTCAGAATAATCCTGGCTCTAAGATTAGTTCTTGGGGGGCCATAGTCAGCCACTGAAATGTGGTCAGCCACTTGTAAGGCAAATACCCTATTTCCTCTACTATCTCTCGTCAATATCAGTTATTTCTTCATTAGACACCGTGATTTGCAAAGTTAATAATACGGTTGTTTCAGGCACTGTCCCAACATCAATCCCACTACCAGTGTGACCTTCCCTCCTCAATGCTCCCTCATCCTCCCCCCACCCAGTGGCACAAAATAGTTTATATTGTTTGTTACAGCACACACAAAAACATAAAATTACTCTTGCATTAGATATTTCTGTGGTGGTGTGGGCTCTTCTGGGAAGGAGAAGGTGACACCAGGTGCGGGTCTCTGAGATGGCACACGTTAGCTGTGGTGTCGGCACACTTGGTTGCACTGCTCATTATTTTGTTTGCACACACTGGCATTCTCCCCCCACCCCCCAAGCTTACCCCCTTAGCAGGCACAGAATAATTTATTTTATATTGCTTGTTATCGCTCCAGCCCAAGCCCGGCAAGCTACCGAGAGTATTCGATATGCCAGACACAGTAACAACAAAGTCTCCAATGGAGATGTTACTGGGCCCGCTCGAGCAAATCGACGATCAACGGGAGGGCCTTTACCTTACCTTTTATTGCTTGTTACAATAAAAATGAAGTTCTGAATAAGTTTAGTAAAAGAAAGCTTGTGAAAGTTGTCACATAGCTCACAATGGTGTTACTAAAGACATTTACTGAGCTGGTTGGTGCTAGTTGAGTGTTCTGTGTTATTGTTTTCAATTATTGAGCTTAGTGGGCTTCTACACAACTTTCCCATCAAATTTCTTGTGCTTCTACTGGACTGTCATCATTGTAAAATTTGGAGTTGCCACATGGTCATGTTTGTGACCTGTGCTCCAGGGGCTGTGGAGCCAGGATGATTCAGTGGCTTTGTGTCTCTTCAAGACTAGTTCGACATTAGGGTTTTTTCTGTTTTGTTTTGAAAGAAAAGATGTGGTATGTCACTGTCACTGTCACTGTCCTCCTGTTGTTCATCGATTTGCTCGAGCGGGCCCAGTAACGTCTCCATTGGAGACTTTGTTGTTACTGTGTTTGGCATATCGAATACGTCACGGGTAGCTTGCCAGGCTCTGCTGCGCGGGTGAGATACTCTCGGTAGCTTGCCGGGCTCTCCGAGAAGGGAGGAGGAATCGAACTCGGGTCGGCCATGTTGGCTGTGTGCAAGGCAAATGCCCTACCGCCGTGCTATCGCTCCAGCCAAGGTGGTATGTGAAGGCCTATATTTAATTTCCCAAGAAATGCCAGGTGTTGCCCCCACAGTTAAAAAAAAGTCTTCAGAAAGTCACATGTCAACCTCTACTCAAAATTACCAACTCACTCAAAAATACAAGAAAAATCTTCACTAAGCAGGGCTTGACAAGATCTGGACCTTACAAGTGGACCCTCATTCCTACCGCTTTGACCCCTGTCCCTCCTTCTGCTCTAGTAACACTGGCTTCCCTACTGGGAACACCTGAGGTCTCCGGACCTAAGTTCCTGCTGTTTCCTCTGACTTAAAACACTCTTCCCCAGATACCTACTCAACTTATCTACTAATTTCACTTAGGTCTCCGTTCAAAGGGCAACTTCTCAGAGAAGTCACCATGTCACTGGCTTTCAGTAGCCCCAACATCCCTATTCTCTAAGTACTGATCAGTACCTGACATTACATTAAATATAAGTATGCAGCCATTTGTCAAAATCATCTTTCCGTTTGGAATATAAGTGCTAAGAAAACACAGGTTCGGGCTCACACCATCACCTCCTAGTGCCTAACTTGACCCATCGCAGGCACTTGGTAAATAGCTGGTAGTTTGTAAGTGACTTGACACCCTGTCTAGTTCCTTGATGCAAATCCAGCAAGAGCTAATACATACTTGAATTGCATTAAAGTCTATTAGGGGATGTTGCACACGGAATGCCCTGCTGCCACCTGCACACACCAGGGCAGAGGTGGGGGGAATCCAAGAGTCCCTAGCCTGATCTATGGTTTAATGGGTGGGTACTGATTGGGAAGAAGCTAAAAGGGAGAACTGAGGATACTAGAAAATTTCTTGGGTCATGGTTATACAGATGTACACAAAATATAAACTCATTGAGTTAAAAACACGCAAACACTGCCCATTTTCGCCTTTGCATTAGCAACTGCCCAAGTCCTTTTTGGTTATGGTGTTGCCACAATGTTGCAGCACACACCTGGATGTGCCTCTGGCACAGTTTCAGCTGTCTCGGGGCCACACAGCCGGCTGAGCTCAGAGGATTGCGGTCCTTTAGCAGAGGTGTTTGTGTGTCTCCCTTTTGACACGTCACGGCTGTGGTGCTCATACACGTGTTCCCTAGGGTCGTAGTCTGGGGAGTGCTGCTTGCATACTTTTAGTCGTGATGTCCCATGGGAGATGCACTCCTTTTAAACATGCTCACGCACATCTGTTGGGCTGTATGCTTAAGCTCTGTGTCTTCTAGATTATATCCCTATCCACTAAAAACTTTCTAATTTTGAGTTTCCACTGCGCCAGGGTAGGGCTGGAGGTCTGCACAGCCTGCCGGAAAGCTGCCTCCAGGTGTTAAACCCCGTGCCCGCTGGTCCCCTGATGCCGACCCACGGAGCAGGCGTGCGCGGGCGCTTCGCCGGCCAGCTGCGGGCCGGTACGCCCCGGGACGTCAGAGCCGCGCCGGCCGCCGCAGCGCGCACGCGCACGCGCACCCCGCCGCGCAGGCGCAGTCGGGCGCGGGCGGCCGGGCATGGAACGGCGCCTGGCCGAGTTCCGGGAGGCCCGGAGACGGGCCGCTCCGGGCCCGAAGGAGGAAGCAGCCCCGGGCTGGCTACAGCGCTACCTGCGGTGGAAAGCGAGGCCCGCGAGTACCGGGACCTCAGCCAGTCCCGCTCAGGTGAGAGGAACGAGAACTTAGCCCGGGACCTCGGGGTCCAAGCCCGCCCGGCAACTACGTGGCGGCTCCAGGCCCCGCCCACCACCATGCTCGGCTAGGCCACGCTCCCGGAAGGGCCCCGCCCACCACCACGTGGGACTCAAGCCACGCCCCTACCTGGCGGCTGCGGACCCCGCCCCTTCGGGCGAGGCCCCGCCCACTGCCACGTGGGCGCACCAGCCGCGCTCTTACTTGGCGATCGCAGGCCCCGCCCCTCCAGGGGAGGCCCCGCCCACCTCCACGTGGGCGCCGGGCCCCGCCCCCTGCCGCGGTCCGGCTGGGGTGGGCGGTCGCGCCTCCCACCTGCTGTGGGTTGGGGCTTGTACTTCCTGCCAGCGCTTCCGGCCACCCGGCTGTCCGGGCTGTGGCTTTCTCTTTGTGACCTGTGACCTGCGCAGTGCCTGATTCTGGGGTCAGAGCGAGCATCTGGAGTCCGGGAGGAAAGGGCATCTGCCCGTGATGTCCCCCGGCGCTGGGAGACCCCCAGGCGCGCAGAGGCACAGCGCTTCGCCGAGGGAGGGTGACAGCTTTGGATGCCGAGGAAAAGTGAGGGTCATCAGGGCCACACATGCGGCCGGTCCCTCAGATAACCTCTGCTTTCCCAGTGGGGTCTGGATACTGGTGCAAACTTACCATCACCGCCAGCCAGGGCCTCTGGTTTTGCATCGCGATAGAATCAGAATCTTTCAAGTTCCGTAGTGAAATATTCAAGGCGGGAACAGACTTTTTAGGAAAGTCTGAAAACTTTTGACTCTTAATTCTTCGGCTTTTTTTTTTTTTTGCAGTTGCACTTAATTCCTGTCTGTTTATGTGTTCGTGGAATTTCATTGCAGATGCGAAAATCCAGGAAAAAACGTCAGATTGATGCTTTTTATTTGTTTGGTTTCTGGGCCACACTTGGCGGTGTTCAGAGTTTGCTCTGCTCTCAGCAGTTACTTGGGTGAGGGCTGTGGCTTGTGGGTCTGAGTGGGAGCCCAGCCTGCCGCCTTAACCCTCCGACCCCAAATTGATACTTTTAGTCAGTTTGTGAGAAAGCCTTGTTTTTTGTTTCCCCTGATAAGTGTAGTAAGAGCCCCAAACTGCGTTTTGAAATTAAAAATATACTGAGGAGAAGTGTACCTAACTTTTAAAATGAGTTCTCTGAACTTTATTATTATACAGCATCTCATTTTTAGGCTTTTTTTTTTTGGTGAAGGAAAACTTACTGTTACTCAATGTTGGTTAGAAATGATTATTGGTTAGAAATGATTCTCCATAATATGAAGGGGGCCAGATGATATACAGAAAGGGAGTACAGCAGGTTTCATGCCATTTCCTTGCATTTAGTTTATATCTGGATAACTTCATTGTTGAATATAAGTCACTGAACACATTTACATTTAGAATTCATATCTCCAACCCTGTTTCCACCCTGTAGCACAAAAGTGTATAACCCACTCAATGAGTAATGAGTGCTTATCTCTCTTCTCTCTCTCTCTCTCTCTCTCTCTCTCTCTCTCTCTCTCTCTTTCTCTCTTTCTGCTACACCCAGGGATGCTCAGGGGTTATTCCTGGCTCTACGCTCAGGAATTACTCCTGATGGTGCTAGGGGTTCCATATGGGATGCCGGGGTTCTAACCCATGTTGGCCACGTGCAAGGCGAATACCTTACCCAACATACTATTACTCCCTCTCCCTGTTTGACTTATTTCTTATTTCTCAGGAAGTGTGAGCTCATTGAGTTGTCCCAGAGAAGCTGAACTTGGAGAAACTTATTAAAACCTGAGAGTTGATGGTCTGATACAGGAGTGGAGAAGTGGTAGTGTCGTCTCTTTCCCAAACATCATTCTGTTTTTCTTTCTGATTTTGTCTTCAGCCACTTGGTTGATTCTGTTCTCTTTCCTGGATTTGTGCTGGTGTGCATTTCCCGCCATCAATTATAATCCAGCTCTATCTAATACCTTTGTGGGCACAGTATGGCTTATCAGGGATTTCTCTAACTCTGTTTTAAATGCTCCTTGTAGTTATTGATGGAGTATTCACATCTCCCTTCCTCTACTCTCAGGTTTTGCTTTGGGAAATGCAGTTCCCAGGTAGAAATTTCTTTTTGTGACATGCTTCTGCCACATTAGGATGAAGGTGCTTTTAAAGTTGTTTAATCCTGAAACCCTAGCCTCTTCCTCAAGCCACATCCATGCCAGCCCTTATTGTACCGCTGGCCCCTAATTTCTTAAACTGTCAGTTGTCACCCCACAGGTGAACATGTAGGTGAATGTGGGGCTTGCAAAAAAAATTGTTTTAGCATAAAGATGACTTTTTTTTTTTAAATCGTTGACTTGAATACCTGTTTTATGTGCCTGGGGCCATGTAAAAATTCCACTGGCATAAAGGGCTTGCAGGTGGAAAAAGTTTAAAAAACCCTTTCCTGACTTACTCTCCTGTGCATCCTATAGCTTCTCACCCCCAGCCTGGCCCTGGGTTAGCCCATTGCATCACCTGGCTCTGCTCAGCCAGACCCCTCCCCACCTCTCTTTCAGATTTGCGGGTCATCTTCCTTTTCCTTATCATCATTTACTTGTTTCTTCAACAGAACCCTGTTGCATGCCCATTAGTTTTATTACTGTGTTAAATGATTGAAAACTGTGATAAAGACAGAATAAGCCCTGCTCTCAGAACTTGCGCTGGGGAGAGCTTCGAGGCTGGGGTGCACTGCCCAGCTTGCGCAGGGCCCCAGCCTTGATCCCCAGCACTTTGTGGTCCCTGAGCACCACTGGGGTGGCCCTGCTTGCTCCAGCACTCCTTGACTTGGGCAGCTTTGTGTTGCTGGGCCTGAGCAATGAATCTTCTGACCTGGTGGGTGGAGTATTACCCGGAACGGTCCCAGGATTCACTGAAGCGTCCCAGCCGCCCCCTAAAAGGAAATTGCATCAAGAGTTTGGGGCAGCATAGGAAGGCGGGCTGTCAGAAGAGGATGGATGAAGAAACTGTGTCAAGCCCAAATCCAGGGTTCAGTGCGAGTGGGTTTGTGGGAGAGGGAACCCACTGCCACCAGGTGCTGTGATGGAGGGGATGTTTCTCTCCAGTGGGTGCCCCGTGCGAAGGTCTTGCAGTGGGAAGCAGCGTGATTCGGGGGATTCCCCAGACTGTGCCTGTGTGTGCTGAATGTGACCCCAGCACTTCTGTACGCAGCTTTGCCTGAAAACTGGTGCTGGCACATCCTTTCCCCTTCTTTGTTCCTTTCATTTCCCTCACTGTGCCGCCTCCTCCCCATCTCATCCCTCTGGCCTCTTCCCAGCAACCCCCCCACCCCCAGGCTTCGCAGGGGGTCAGATCTTTGGAGGGAGATCCTCTGGGTCCTAGAGCATCCTCATCCCTGCCTCCCCAGTTCCAGTGTCGACCTTGAGCCTAAGCTACGTTTTTGCTCCCTAAATCATCAAGTGAACCCAGTTTACGTGGATCCTATGTCCTGCACGCAGTTCTCTGCTCCTGGGCTGTGTCCTGTCTTCCTTCTCCGCACTCTAGGGGGCCACCTGCACGAGCTCCCGATGGTGGTGGTCCTTCAGCCCCCTCATGCATGTCAGAATATGTAAATCAAAAGTCTTGAATCGCAACAAAAGGAATATATTCGCTCTGCACTAAGGCTCCCAGCGGTGTCCCTCCTGCCAGAGCCTGTGGCCCCTGCCGGACCGAACCTGGACTACACAGGGCACTGCCGCCTTGCCTTGCCCTCCCCTCTCTCTCCACACAAGCCCATCTTTCTGACCTGACTCTGCCTCCTTCCTGGACAAGATGTGTCATGCACACTGGCCAGATCTGAAAGGGACTTTTTTTTAGTTAACAATGGGGGTGTCGCTAGGGATCATTTAAAGTGATCTTCTACCCGGGCTTTCCAGTCCAACTGAAAAAAGATGATTACAGAGCACATGCTCAAAAAAAAGAAGGTCCTAACAAAATAAAATTCCCAGGTGACCTCAGTCAGTTGACCTGTATTTTTTCCAAAGGGGAGAAAGTGTTGTGATTCACTTTCTAATTTTTTAACAGTGGCAAAATATTATTATAATTGTTGTTGTTGTTTTTGGGCCGGAGTGATAGCATAGCAAGTAGGGCATTTGCCGTGCATGTGGCCGACCCGGCTTTGATTCCTCTGCCCCTCTTGGAGAGCCCGGCAAGCTACCGAGAGTATCTCTCCCGCACAGCAAAGCCTGGCAAGCTCCCTGTGCATATTCGGTATGTCAAAAACAGTAACAACAAGTCTCACAATGGAGACGTTACTGGTGCCCGCTTGAGCAAATTGATGAACAATGGGAGGACCATGCTATAGTTGTTGTTTTTGATGTGTCACCATGAGATACACAGTTATAAAGCTGTTCATGATTGAGTTTTTCAGTTATAAAGTGTTCCAACACTCTTTTCTCCACCAGTTATGTTTTCTACCACCAATGTTTGGTTTCCGTCCCCCCATCTCCCAGCCTGTCTATGGCAGGCATTCTCTCTCTCTCTCTCTCTCTCTCTCTCTCTCTCTCTCTCTCTCTCTCCCTCCCTCTCCTCCCCACCCCCCACTTCCCTCCCTCCTTTTGGGCATTATGGTAGTACAGTATTACTGCTTTATGCTTGCCATGCTCCTACACTGTGTCTACCACCAGAGTGCCAGGATCCTGCCACCATTATCCCAAGGTCCCTTGCCTTCTTCACTGTGAACCCCTTTTAAATCTGCTTGTGAAGAATGGGGATACAACTGAAGAAACAGCCCAGAAGTTGTACCGTGTATTGAGAATCTGTGATGCTTGGGATGCCTATTTGGCTCTGGCTACCAGCCCCATTCCAAGGATCATGACAGTTGTGGCCTCGTGGTACTTATTTATAAAAAAAACTGAGGGATACATGTGACTTCTATTAAGAGAGGGAGATAGGGAATGCTGAGTTGGGCTTTTATTTATTTATTTTTTATTGAATCGCCTTGAGATAGTTACAAAGCTCCTATGTTTGAGTTTCAGTCACACAATGATTGAACACATCCCTCCACCAGTGCACATTCTCCACCACCAATGTCCTCACTATCCCCCCACCCCATCCAAGCCCTCCCCCTGCCTCTGTGACAGACAATTTCCCCCATACTCTCTCTCTACTTTGGGGCACTATGGTTTGCTGGAAATTTCTCGCCACTATTCAAGCCTGCCTGCCAGAGGCAGATGCTAGATCATTTATTTTCTCTTGCTTATTATGAGGGAGGCACCAGCACACCTGCCCGTTATCAGCCCCGAGGGCACCATCCCCACCTCTCGTCCCTCAGTGGGTGCAGGAGTCTAGTGAGTGCATGAAGTCCACCACGGCCTCTGTCTTCAATGAGGAGGTGCCTCTGCCTCTTGGAACTGGAACCTTCCTGAAGCCGCAGGAACTGCTCCAGGCCTCTTCCCAAAGGTGCCAGTTCATGGTGACCTGTGTGCTGAGGGCCAGCTGGCCTGCGAGGACAGCCTGAGGCTTTGTGGGAGCAGAGCTGGAAGTTTCCGCGCCAGCGTCAGGTAGGCTGTGCTTACTCCTGTTCTCTGTTTCCCTCTGCTGCCCCAAACTGCACCCTAAATGGGCGAGCCCACGCTATGGCGGGTGCTTCCTCAAACAGAAAGTCTAATTGGGAAAGGTGCTCTGAGCGGGTAGGGTGTTGGTTTGCCTTGCACGCGGCCGTCACGGGTTTGATTCCTCCGTCCCTCTCAGAGAGCCTGGCAAGCTACCAAGAGTATCCCGCCCACACGGCAGAGCCTGACAAGCCCCCGTGGTGTACTCGATATGCCAAGAAACAGTGACAAGTCTGACCATGGAGACGTTACTGGTGCCCGCACGAGCAAATCGATGAACAATGGGAGGACAGTGCTGCAGTGCTACAGGGCTAATGATGAATATCATAAGATGTCACGTGTGCTTCTGGAATTCTAAAATTGTAAATGATTGGGGTCCAGAGACATCTCCGTAGGGAGCTAATCCATTTTGAGATTCATTCAGGAGTCTCTGAACCAAGGCCGTTGAGGCTCTGAGATGGTGCCCGGAGGCAGATCGTGGGGACCTCAAGCAGGGAGGGAGACTGGGAGGGATGGCCTATCTCTGCTGCCACCATGGGGCCTGGAGTCTTAGTCCTGGAACCCGTGTACCTGGGTTTTGCTTCTGGAAACTCGTGCCCGCCGAGGTTTCATCTGGAGCCGGCGGAGAGGGCACTCCCACTCCCTCTGAGGCGCCCAGTGGTGTTGGCTCCATTCAGGGTCCGGAGAGATCTCCGGCGAGCTGCTGTGCTCCGGGACTCACTGCTGTGTTTCTGGACCACGGCCGCTGATGTGCTGAGATGGCGCCCAGAGCTAACATCTTTTTTTTTTTTTTTAATCATGTGCCAACACCACAACTGTTACAAACAAGTTGTTTGTAGCTTTGGACTTCAGCTTTTCCTGAAATTGGAAGTTTCTGAGTGAAATTGGGACAGGTGGGTGGAGTGCGGAGCCATGTCGTGATGGGGCACAGACAGTCCGGGGCTCCAGGTGCCAGGACGCTAGGCTCTGCCGACAGCTGCCCAAGCACTCCCTCCTGGTCACTGGCCTGTGTCTGCTGGAAGGCCAGTGCTGAGGAAGGGAGGGCAGACTGAGCTCTGCCTTTGGCTAGTGGACCTCTGGGAGTAAAGGAAGCACTTACGGTGTGATAGATTGTAGAGTCTGTGGCACAGGAAATCTTTAGATTGTTTCTCAAACTGCAGATCATGAACAACTCACGGATATTGCAGTCAGTTTAGATCATCCTGTTTCTCTTTCAAAGTGAAATAAAGGGGCCGGAGAAATAGCCCAGGGGTCAGGGGCACATGACTTGTGAGGGCTTGGGGTTGATCTCCATGACCATACACTGTCCCCAGCCCCGCAGGGCAGAGTGTGGCCCGCTGCCCGGCTCACCCCCAGCTCTAATCAGCATCACATCACCAGACCCAACCATGATCCATCTGGCCCAGCTGGCGCCCAGAGCCCCCTCAGACACTCTCATATTTCAGTTTTGGGGGTAGTATATGCAGTGCTAGAGATCAAACCCAGGCACAAAATTAATATAAAACTTGGTTGCATTTACATGCAGGGAGTTCATTTATTGATCTGTGAGACTTCTCTGGTACCTATATGTGTATATATGTATGGACGTGGTGTGTATATACTGAGTCACATTAGAAATGTATTTCATCTTTCTGGCAGAGGAGGGCATACCTGGCAGTGCTTGGGATATCGTATGGTGCTGGCATCCAGCCTGGGCTCTCACATGTGTTTTGAGCTGTCTCCCCAGCAGCGTCCCCCCAACACACACACACACACACACACACACACACACACACACAATGGAATGGAATGTATTTCTTATTGTGCATCATACCCAGAAAAGTTTGGGAAATGCCGCACTGGAAACCAAGCTGATTAAAGCCACTGAGCCGGTGTGTCCCCATCGGCACCCTGGCAGGAGAATGAGTCTGGCATCTCTGACTGTCCCTAAACACAGCCTCGGATACGTGCCCAGGGCTGGGACTATGACCTGGAGGCCATGACAGTTGTGGAAGGTTTGATTGGTGTTTCGGGAGGGTTATTTAGTAGCTGTGCCGCTGATGGCTTGGGGATCCAGGTACGAAGCCCCGCCCTTCTGGGGGAGGCCTCTGTGGCATGGGAATGGGTGGGAAGGGGCCCTGTCAGTGGTTATTAAAAATATGTGCGAGAGATTTTTGTTTCCTGTTTCTGGTAGAGTCTCTGCTTTAGAATCATGTCACTCATGGTATTTTAGCTCATCTAATCCAATCAGCAAACTTCTATTGGCCTTGAAGGGAAGCATATGCTTGGCTATTGTATAATAAGTTACTGGGGAATTTCTGTTGGGGACCCAAATGAGCTCTTGTTAGCAGCCGACTAATCCGAGGAAATGTCTCCCATGAATGGAATCCATCTGAATGCGGTAAGGTTTTTATGGGGTCACATCTCACTTAAATGCCGAACCGTCCTGATTCCATTTGGAGCAGAGCTCATGAGCAATTTGGGGGTGGTGGGGTGGAGGGAAGAATGATTGTTTTAGAGAGCAGGGCAAGAGAAATAGAAATCAGCGAGCCGGAAGCCTGCCCAGAGCAGTGAGAAATGCCTCTCCAGATTTGTCTGGATCCTCTCAGCCCCATTACCCTTTATTCTCCCATTTTTTTCTTTTGTACCCTAGGAAGCAGCTCCGGCTCCCGCTCAGCTGGGAAACAGCCCGTCCTGGCCCCCTCTGCCCTCGGCCATCCCACCCGCGCCCAGGGACCAGTGGCTCCTGACCAGGATCACTGTCTTGAAGGTGCTCCTCTGGCTGGTGCTCCTGGGCCTGTTTGTGGAGCTGGAATTTGGCCTGGCGTATTTTGTCCTGTCTTTATTCTACTGGATGTACGTCGGCACACGGAGCCCTGAGGAGAAGAAGGAGGGAGAGAGAAGTGCATACTCGGTGTTCAACCCAGGCTGCGAGCCCATCCAGGGCACACTGACAGCAGAGCAGTTTGAGCGCGAGTTACTGTTCCGGTCCCCAGAGGGGAGATAGGTCTGAGATCCACGGCCCTGCAGCTGCCGGGGGCCCTGCCACCCTTGGGCATGAACTCATGGATTCGAGTCCCGGACAGAGCTCAGGGCAGCTGGCAGGGTAGCTCTGGGACGGTGTGCTTCTCTCACGTATATCGTCTTCTGTCCAGTCAACCTGCTGCTAGTGTTTCATCCTTGAACTTGGCGTTGATTTTTGGTGAAAAAAAAATCCCATTGGATCTCAGGCAATTTGTGAAAATAATATCCTTAATAAAGGAGACTGTCTCGTTATTTGGGCGAGGTGACTTCAGAGCATTACATATTACCCCAGTGTTTGAAGTCATGGTTAGGTACTGTCTGTTGAAAGTAAATGTGTTATCTTGAAGCCCCTTAACATGTATAGCTTTTTGTTGTTGTTATTCCTGAAAAGTTGTAATTTGTCAATTGTATTTTTCTGTTTTCTTCTTTCTATCTTGCTTTTTTGGGACATTCATGGTATTGAAATATAAAATAGCTTTAAACCATTTATTTGGGGGGCCAGAGAGAGAGAGTATAATGGCTAAGGCATTTGCCTTGCACACAGCTGACCTGAGTTTGATCCACTGAGCTCATCAGGAGTGACCCTGAGCACAGACCCAGGAGTAATCCCTGAATACTGCTAGGTGTAGCCCCAAAACAACAGCAACAACAAAAATTTGCTTTTCTGCACCAGATTTCTATTGCCCATTACCATGAAGTCTCTGAACCAGTGGGTTCATGGGTATCGTGTGAAAGATTTGCATGTAAAACTCAGATACTCAAGAAGCTAATTTTGCTCGGTCTATGCCCCCTGCCAGTGTTCAGGCTTCTCTTTATACCAGTGTATAATGTCATTATACACATGTTTTGTCCCCCAGTACCCAGTCCAGATCGTGCCAACTTTGTCCTGTTCTTGTGCCATGTAACCGTGACCAATGATGGTCTGGTCTCATCTCTGTGACATTTTCTGTCCAGTGAACACATTCCTGGTTAGGACTCTGCAGCTGTGTCCCCTCCTGGGCCTGCTGCTCTGTGGTCTCAGGTGGGCTTCTCCCATCTCCTCGTGGGTGAGACCTCGCTGTCTTGCCATGTTTTTGAGCTTAGATGAGGGGCCAAAGAGGAGTCATCTAGCTGGGGGCTCCCTTTCATCTTTCACTGTTTCCCACCCCCAGCTAGCCATTTTCTATTCCGACTAATTAGATTTTTGTGGGCAAGATTTAGGATGATAATCACAAATCTATTTTAAAACAAATGTTTTTTTTTTTTTAACTACTCTCACACTGCTAAAAGATGTTATACTCAGTTATGAAACCTCATCGGGGATGGCAGCCTGTAGTTTGAGTAGTGAGGTGCTGGCCCGCAGAGAGAGCACAGGGGTTGGGAGCATGCTTCCTGTAGAGCCAACCCAAGTTTGATCCCCAGCACCGTGTGGTCTCAGCATCACCTCATACAGCCCCAGATGCTCCTGAACACTTCCGATCTCCTGAGTTGTCTGAGGCACCAGAGGGCCCAAAAAGCACCGTACCTGCAGACCTTAGACCTTTTGGACCAGGAATTGCCAGGAGGAGCCTCCTCAATGCTGCCTAGGAGGCCAGAGCAGCAAGGTGCTCGAACTTGAGCCAGGGTGATGAAAAGCGTACTAGCCTTCCATTTTTGAGAACATTCATCTGACTGGATGTGGTGGGAGACAGAACAAGCGTTGCCGTAACAGATGTTTTCACTGCGGGAGGTGTGCAGGGGAGGGGTGTCCTCATTAGTCACTAACCATGTGTGTCCGCCCAGGTGGACAGTTATGACGTGCTGTGCTCCTGACAGGCTCTTTGCTGAAGAGGAGCTTGGGTGTGCCTCAGAGCTGTCCAGTTAAGCAGAAGATCCTCTAGCTCACATCAGAGTCTCTTCTATGGAGATGGACTTGCAGAAAAGAGGGGAAACAGACAAATCTTTAGTAATTAAATGTGAACCTTTGAATTTTCTGTAAGATTGGTTGTTAATTTGGTTCCTGATTCCTTTTTTTTTTTTTTAGGGGTGGGTTGGGCCACTCTCCTCGGTACTCAGGGGCTGTCCCTGGTTCTGAGCCCAGGTGTGATCCTGATGGTGCTTGGGGACCATTTGTGGTGTCAGGGATCCAGCCAGGGCTAGAGGGATGGATGCAAGACAAGCACCTTAGCTCCCATGCTTTCTCTCTGGCCCTAGTTAATTTTCCTAAGGCTTTTATTTTTTTCATTTCCCGGTTGTGTTGCTTGAGCTTTCCTATTACGTAAAACCAAATACGAGGAAGACTTAATCTGATTAAAGATTTACTGTCATGCTCAGGGCACTAAACATGTTCTAGGAAAGAAATAATTTACATTTCAAAAGACAGGGCTAAAATTCAGGCTTTCCCCTAAAATAAAATGCCTTTATTTGCTTGGCTTAGAGACATTTGATTCAATTAGGAAATTCATTCAGCAAGGTGAGGAACTTCCATTATTGCTTTTTTTTTTTTTTTTGGTGGTGTGAGGTGGGGGGGCAGGTTTGGGCCCTGTGGTGCTCAGGGCTACTCCAGGCTCTCTGCTTGGGGCTTAGGGGTCACTCCTCTTGGTGGCTTTGGAAATGAAGCTGTTTATAACGAGGTGGTGCTTAGTCTTCTGAAGCTCTTTCATGGATTTCCTGTGAGCCATTTGTCACCTCTCCTTGCTCACCTATTCCCAAAGGTTGCATGAAATGACAATATTAACTTCTAGGAAAAGTGAACCAATTAAATGCCTGTCAGGGAAGAGAGGAACAGCTAGTCTGTATTTGCTGTTCTTATCAGACCATTAAGCTTTAGTTGCAGCCTTGATTTCCTGAATTTAGAAAGGGCCTATTGATCTCGGAATTTCCACTTGGGGCCTGACCATTAGCCCGGCAAGCAGCTTCCATTAAAGGCCTCTGCCATCAGTGAACTTGAAGTCCCAGAACTGCACCCCCGCCCTGTGACAGCGTGTGCTCACACGGGCAAGGTCGGCTCTGTCCTGATCTTAGACGTAAATTGGTTTTGCTTTTATTCACATTATCCCATCTTGCCTAGTCACAGGATGAGTACACAAGCCTCTGCTTGGAGGGCTGGAAGGGACCCCAAAATGCCATGAAATGCATCTCTCCTGCCTTGAGCAGGGCCATGTTTCATTTCTGGCCATTTTCAGTGACCGCTGAAGCAGAAGAATTCAGCTCTAAGATTTAGGCCCTTCTCAGCTCTTTTTTGGAAGAACTTTGCTGCAACCACCGTTCTTGATTGTTCTTAATGGTTGCAGAGCACCCTCCGGCCAGGAGACTGCCCCTGGCTTCTCTCTGCCCTAGGCTGCGCTCTACCTGCTCGGTGTGCCCCTGAGGCAGTCAGTCTTCCGGTGTGAGGGTTCCCGGACTGGGTGTTCTTGTGAGTGGGTGCAGTGATGGTTATCACAGCTGTAGGTTTGCCCAGGGATGGCTTTGGGTTCTAACACTGAGTTTCTGCTGCACACGGCACTGTTGGCCTCTGTTTATTTACTGGCACACGGTTTGCAGCACTTTGGGTGAGGGCCACATCAATGCATTCTCCTGATTAAGGAACGGTCAGCCCCTGGAAGTAGGAGGCTGAGCAGCACCTGCCTTCTGGGGGTACCTGGAGCTGCTGCTCCCTGTGGTGGGTCCCTTCCCCTCACTCTGGAGATCAGGTCCGAAGTGGGGAACCCACTGAATGTTGCTTGAGCCAGGTGTGCCTACGACTGTTTCAGAACTTCTTTTCTTTTGGCGGCTCCCCAAGCACAGCCCTTGTCAGAGGTCCTGGGAGAGTCCTGGAAAGCTTTCAGAATGGGTTTATACACACACTGAACAAAACGACGATCCTCTCTGAAATTAGCAGGCAGCAGTGCAGTTGAGGAGACTGGCACCGTGTTCATGCACATCTGATCTTGATGTGGAGCAGAGAGAAGCTGCAAATTCACAGCTGGGAGAGAACTGTGATCCCTAAGCCAAAGGAAACACAATTTCAGCCACGTGCTTTGTTTCTGTCACATGCACTCTTAATTTCACAACTTGGGAGCATTGGACTAGATACAAACTGGGATCTCCCAAAGAGCTGACAGAAAGGCAAGTTGAGAGCAAAATGAATGACTTTGTATTGTGTGTGTGTGTGTGTGTGTGTGTGTGTGTGTGTGTGTGTGTGTGTATTGGGGGACGGATCTTCAGGAGAGATCACATTTCAAATCTAAATTCTAGACAGTGCAGGATTTGTCACTTTGGAGTGAGAAATACTCTTTCCTTAATAGGTCAGGGACGCAGGTAAAAGAGGCCTCACAGCACTCGTGTTTGAATATGTAGTAACAATCTATGGGCCTTTTAGGGGTGTGGGAGAGGCTTCATACCTGGCCGTGCCCACGTGCTTGTTCCTGGCTCTGCCAGGGATCACTCCTGGAGTGCCTGTACTGTTGTTCTGGCATCAAACCAGGGTTGGCCACATGCAAGGCAAGCACCTAAATTCCTGTCCCATCTCTCCAGGCCCTCCTGTAGTAACATTACATTGAAGATGTTAGGGCTCATGTGGACCCACTGATTTCAGTATGGTAGGGTATAAGGGCCCCAGAAACCTGCACTTTAACAACCTTCCTAGCTGGTATAATGTCCAGTAAGGGTTAAAAATACTGAGGCCAGAGAGAGAGAGTACAGTTGGTAGGGCACTTGCCTTGCAAGTGGCTTACTTGGGCTCCATCTCCAGCACCCTGAATGGTCCCTTAGTACCACCAGGAATGATGCTGGATGCAAAGCCAGGAGCACTGTGGGTGTGGCCCCAAAACAAAATCAGAAATGTTGAGTAGAAGCATGAATGTAAAAAGGGAAGAGAATTTAATGATTAATAGACTCAAGCAAAGAAAGAGCTATGTGTTTCTTATGTAGATCAAGTTTGCCCTTTTTCAAGATATGAAAGCTAAATAAAAGAAGTCATATATGGCTTTAAAACCAGAAGGAACTAATGGCAAAGACTAGAGTAACGGTGCCTTAGTCCTTAACATTTTCTTTACAAGCAGTAATTATTTAAAAGCAGAACATTTGGAAACATAGAAAAAAACAAAGTATATATATTCATGCGTATTTTCCAGAATTCAGTACAATGAGAAATTCTCCTTCCCATTGTCATATTTGTTCTTTGTGGAGCCCAGCAATGCTAGTGTAACAATCCTCTGCCTCTTGTTTTCTAAGTACTCTGAGTTTTACTTACAAACGTGTAGTTTTTATGTAAGAGGATGATATTTTCAGTGATATACTGAGCTGGGCAAGGATGAGGCTGAGTTTCATCCCCAGGCTGCTGCATGAGCAGATGCAGACAGCCCCACTGTCTGTGATCCCTAGTGAGGGGGGAAATACCACATCAGCTATCATCAGAGTGGAGTCTCTGTGCCGTTCATTTGCTCAGTCATTTTCTAACACCTCCATGTTCACCCACTTGTGTACCTATCCATCATCTACTCTCCATCACTTACACATCCTTCCA